AGACAGAAGGACTTTGTGAGACCCAGTGACAATGGACTGGGCAACACTCTGATTCTGGGAGGCACATTCCCCACTTCTTCATGGTTGCACCCTGGGCATCTATCTAACCTGCCATGTGTTCATAAATGATCAAAACGAGAGGGAATTGGAGGTAGTGTATGGGGCTATTCATTCAAGAAGTTTGATCTATAGCTTTGAGGAATGCAGTGAATGAGTTGAGAATTAGCCTCCTTCCTTTTTTCCTTCCTCCCTCCCTCTTTCCCTCCCTCCCTCCCTCCATCTTTCCCTCCCTCCCTCTTTCCCTCCCTCCATCCCTCCCTCCCTCTCTTCCTTCCTCTTATCCCTTCACTCTTTTCTAGCCCCTCTTTTTCTTTGTAAGCCCATGTGCTGGAGGGAGGAGAGGAAAAGTGTGGGGGTGAAAGTTTTAAAAAATTAAAGAGAAAGAAGAAATGTGAATTGCTCCCCTTCTTATGGTCTATATATAGACAGTTCAAGAGTTGGAACCTTCCTCCCCTAGAAAGTGGCATTGTAGCTCAGGGGTGGGGCACTTAACCCAGCACACGCAAAGCTCAAGATCACATCCCTAGCATCTTACAGGCTGGATGGTTCCTGTGACCATCCTTTGGGCAGGGATTTGTCATTAGTACTTAGAGCAGGTTTAAGTGAAACTATATTGATTGTTTTTGTTCTTTGATCTGAATATTTACTGGAAAGAGTTACACAAGGAAATAGAAGAAACACTAACTCACTAGGTTGTGGAAGTCAGGCATGTTGACCATAATGCCCAGTTAGAAAGCAGATAAAGAGGGCGGCTCCCAGAATTTTATTGTATACATAATCATGTGGCTATTCTGTTGAGTGCTGAGTGGGAACTTGAGTGTAGGTGATTCTTCCATAGTAGAGCTGAGAGTGAGTTCAGCAGGCAGGCCCATTGGGGTAGAATTCCTGGCTCTGCTGCCTCCTGGCTAAGTGATTTGAGCAGCTGACTCAATGCCTTAAGACTCAGGTTCTCCTTGTATTAAAAGGAGAATAGCTGGACATTCTGGTATATGACACTAATCTCAGCAGTGGGGAGGCTGAGACAGGAAGTTTACGAGTTTCATGCTAGCCTGGGCTACATATTGGAGCCCTGTCTCAAAGGGAGAGAGAGCTTGCCTTCTCCTGCTCATTCAATCCAGAACCCCAACCCATGGGATGGCGTTGCCCTGCTTCAATGTGATCTTCCCGAATCTGGATAATTCCTCCAGGCATGCCCAGAGTCCTGCCTCCAACAACTCTAAATCCTGTCAAGTTCACAGTCCATATTAACTATTAAAAGATCAAGAGGAGTAGCTCTATAAGGCACAGACCAAGCACAGTGACAGTTCGTGCTTAATCATTGGCAGGTTTCATAATGAGGAAATTGGGTGGGTTGGCCATGGTCTACCTAGCCTGGCCTTGAACCAAACTCACGTGATACTCCCTTCTCAGACTCCCAAATATCTGGGGCTACACACATATGCCACTATGTTCAGCTTGGAAACTGTCTTATTACTTTTCCAAGGATTTATTTATTTATAAATTTGTATGCATGTACATGTGCTGAGTGTATACACACGTTCAACATGTGTGCCTGAGCCTGCAGATGTCAGAAAACGCATCAGATCCCTTGGAACTGGAGTAATAGGCATTGCGAGTTGCCACATAAGTGCTGGGGACAAAACTTGGGTTCTATGGAAGAGCATCAAGTACTCTTCACTGATGAGCCATCTCTCCAGCCCTGTGTTTTCTTATTTTTATGATGACAAATATGTCAGGCTTCCAATGGCAAATGAATTTAGAATTCTTGAGTTGGTGCTTGGCAGCTGAAGAATTTAGGTATTCCTATTAGTCAGTGATTAGTCAGTGATAGTCACATGTGTCTAGGAAGTCTCAATCACTCTAAAGGGAGCTGGATGCTTTGTCCTCACGTGTCTTCCCTTCCTTTTGTTAAGGGAAGCAATAAGGAGATGGACTTTTCTGAAGTTTGCTGGACACAGACTTTTCTTCAAAGGGTCCCTATTATTTTGTCACATATCTGAGACAGAAAATGGAACTCATAAAGCAAAACTTGAAGGAGTTGTATTAATTAAACACCACACAAAAACTGTTTTTCCTGAAACAGTAGAAGTTCAAGGTGAGTCATGACTCAGGTTTGACTAGGAACCTTGTGTGATCGAAGTGCTGTCTGAGAGTATAGACAGTAAAAAGAGAAATCCAAAAGGGTTTGTGAGCATGCTAGCACTTGCCCCTGCAGACATCAAGAACTCAAAAACTAATGGTAGTCATGAGAGAATCAGAATGCTGCTGTATTAAAGGAGAAGCCAGGTAGAATGTGGGCAGCCATAGGTAGCTCTGCCATTGGCCAAACAACGCTCCAGGGGACTATCCTCAAACCTCTTAGCTGAAGGCAATCCATTAAACCTCCCCACTAATTCATAGGATTCCCTTTAGCAAGAGGAAGCACTTTGAAAGAGGGAATTAGGGGCCTGCCCTCATTAATTAAAAATAAACCCTTGATTTTTCCTGAAGCCCGAAAAGCTTTTGTGTAATTATGGTTTGGTAGGTAAAAGCGATACCACACCTAAATCCACACCCACTGAGACACTTGGCTTAACTGCCCTTTCAAAGAGTATAGCCAGGCTTTAGGGAGGCTGCTTTTATTCTTGTGTGAGCCATCCCAAAGCCTCTTGAGCATGTATGTCCTGGGATGGCCACAAGGGTTATGATTCACTGGTTTATATGTAAGTGCCATCCACACAGTTTCTTTCCTCATATCCTCTGGAATCGCTTGCTTTTAAAAGAATATATGAAACACAGCAAGCACATCAAGGGTTCCCAGGAGTGTTGTTTCCTAAGAAGGTGCTTTGTTTAGTTGTTGTTGGTTTTTTCTTTGTTGTTGCTGTTGTTGTTGTTGTTGTTGTTTGTGTGTGTGTGTGTGTGTGTGTGTGTGTGTGTGTGTGTGTGTGTGTGTGTGTGAATATCCTCTGTAACATTTTCAGTACCGCCCCACAATCATGAGCACTTTTTGAAGTACTCTCTCAGTGGATGAATAATGAATTTACAGTGGGCTGCAGAAGGAGACACTTGTAAGTTCTGCTCAACTGGTAGCTTTTAAAAATAGCTCTTGGATTTTGCAGTGTGGAGTGCCATGTGTGAGATCCCGGATGACATGTGTGCTTCATGTTGCAAAGCCCTTCACAAGTGTCACCCAATTAACTGCATGCCCTCTGACAGGTGGCAGGGGCCCTTCTGTGACTTGAAGAAAGGAGTGCCTGCTTTCGTGTCACTGGCTCAGGAAAGCATCTTTATTTGGGGGGTGGGGAGCTGTCTGAAGAGAGTCATCCTTTTGAGTCTTGAGTAATTACGAAGTGAGTTTCAACACCATGCTTTGTAACTTCTAGTTTTTGACAAACAAAGCGGGTTATTTGTTCAGTTTGTAGTGGAACTTCTGAGGTAGAACCCAGGGCTTTACCCTGGTGAGGCAAGTGCTTAGCTAGGCTAGGAAAACATGAGTGCCAAAAACAGTATGCAGGATCAGACGAGTATTTGGTAAATACTGTAGATGAGAGACGTGAAGTAAGGAAGACCGAGATTATATTAGTTTAAGTTGCATTACTATAATGAAACACTTAGTTCTTACTAAAGTCCCAAAGTTGGTTCTTGCCAACAGGAACAGAACACAAAGGAGAGAGCCACTTGGAGAGTGACTGACCCTTTGGCAAGGTCTGTTGGAGAGACCTTGAGTACAGGCGATGAGGTTCGTCAAGGCAAGATCATGGGTTGGGATACTGCTGAGAAACTGAGTCCAGCCTGTATTTAGATGGCTGCCTTCTATTAGGATTGGTAGCAAGTAGAAGAGACTCAGGTATTAGGTTGAGTAAGGATTGGACAGAATCTCTGTCCTGAGAGAATAGGAGGGTTACTGAGCCATTATGAGAGCAAAGCCTTAGAAAATGAACAGAGCAGAAGGGTGGACACAGACTAGGGAGTAGAGGAGGACAGAGGCCCTGGAAGCTGAAGGAAGCCTTTTTGCATGAGCATCAACCACATGGCTCATCAGATGAGCATAGCTATGAGGACTGTGTGCCCACCGTGTATCAGACACTTCCCAGAGACTCAGTCGCTCCTAGCACTTGGACAAGACCTCTCTCTGTTTCAGCCTTTTCTTTGGTGAACGTAGGGTATTAAAGCATCCCATCTTACAAGCTTGTGGGGGAAACTAACTAAAAAACATGAAGTGCCAAAAACAGCATGCGGTGTCAGAAGAGTATTTGTTTAATTCTGCAGATGAGAGACATGAAGTAAGGAAGACTGAGATTATATTAGTTTGAGTTGCATTACTATAATGAAGCACTTCAGACAGCCAATTTATAAAGATAAAAGGATAATTTGGCTCATAATTTTGGAGGGAGGGTCTGGCCCTAAACCAAATAACACACTGCTTCTGGTCTCTAGCACCATGGTCAGCAGGGATGTATACATTTTCATTGGTGATCACTCTTGAGTCAGGAGGCAAAGGCAAATAGGAAGAGAAAGAGACCGTGTTTTACCAGCTCCTATGAAAGTATGCCCACGGTGATTTGATGATATCTGTATTAGTTACTTTTCTGTACTGTGATAAAACACTTCCCATCAAAGTGATAAATACTTTATTTGGGCTTATGGTTCTAGAGAGATAAGAGTTGGTCATGGCATGGCATGACAGCAAGGTGGCAGGAACAGAGAGCAGGACTTACCCTACAAGCATGAAGCCAGGAAGGGAGAGAGATAACACTCACTGGGAATGGTACCAAGCTTTGGAACCTCAAAGCATGATATACTTTTTCCAGCAAGGCCAAACCTCTTAGACCTCACCACACAGTGTAACCAACTGGGACCAAGTGTTCAAATGCCCAAGACTATGGGGAACATTTATCCATGTCTCATCCACACCACCACAATGTCTCCTAAAGTTCCCACTCCCTAAAGATTCCATCGCTCCCCAGAGAGTTGAGTTCAGTTCAGAGCAGCTTCCCTGTTCTGTTAACTAAACTTTGTGACATTGAATGTAGTTAAGGGAAATGACTGAATAGAGAATATTACTCTTCATATACTTCCTAGTCGATACCAATTAAAAATCCACCGCTTCCCAGTAGCCCTAGTCTGGGCATTAGGTCTTTAACATAAAGACTTATGTGGGATGCCCATCCAACCTGAGACAGGCTTGATTTGTGGATGGAGATCCAGCAGGCGCCCTCATGGGGAGGCAGATGCAAAGAGAAAACTAGTGGGGCATCCTTGGTGGGTACTTAGGTAGTGTGTGGGGCTTGGGAGATACACCCAGCAGGTAACCCACAGGCATCTGCTGCTGGTTCTTTGTGTAGTTAGAATAACACCTCATCGCAGCAAGCAATCACTTTGATTTCTTTTAATGTGTACCATTTAATTGAAATGATTTAAGAGTTGTTCTTCAAGAACACAGTTCTGTGTTTTTATTGGCAGTGCCCTCCTTTCTGGTATTCCATGGTGATTTCAGGATAAGTCAGGACAAATGTTCATTTGTGATCCCTGACAAAACCCCGGGCACATGTGGTAGAAGATATTTATAGAGCATGGTGTGGTTTCTCCCCTTCGCTGAGTGTCTTTCTGCCATTGGGTTTGCTTTACAGCTTCAGCATACAGCCTTTTCCTTGCTTTATGAATCAAATCTCTAGTCATTAATCTACCTCATTAATTAAATGTAAATCGATGTATGCATTTTCATTGGTGATCACTACGTGTTGCACACTGGTGGGGTGGTTTTTTTTAACCATGAGATCTCCACATCCCCCTTTCTATATTTTAATATTTTTTATTTACTCATTCAACAGATTTTTATTAGGTACTTAATCTACACAGTTACTTCGTTAGTCTTGAGGCTATGGTGAGTAACTAAACATAATGTGATTACACCCTGACATGGTGAGGCCTGACCCAGTCCCAGGGGTCCAGGGAAGCCAGTGGAGGAGGGGAAGCTTTTAATTTTCTTAAAGTTCTGTCAAAAATATACTTTAGCCTGGAACCTCCAATCATGCCCTTCAAAGACTTCTCCAATCTTTCCTCAACACTGGCAGTTGCTTGGTGACCCCTTCTTTTCTGGTCCCCTTTTCCATAAGGTGCTGCCCTCACTCAGGGTCCAGAGCACTTGATGAAATTGAGGAGGTTTACATACCTATCTATCTATCTATCTATCTATCTATCTATCTATCTATCTATCTATAATTTATGGCAAGGAACTTAAGAATCCTCCATTTTCCAAGACCACATTAGGCATTTTCACGAGTGTTTAAGGGTATCTGTGCACTGAGAAAAATTTGGCATGTTTAAAGAACAACCCTGCTTAAGGTTTAACAACTAAAGTTGATGTTTTCTCACCCTAGCTTGAGTCTTGTGGCAAAGGTGAATTCTCTCCTCGGTTCTCTTTGGGTCAGATTGTATAGAGTAGATGAAAATGGTCAAGTACAGATGCTTTGATTTGCATACATTGTTTTAAGGCTCCAGTGGAAAAATGTGGGTGGTTTGGACGTGGTTTCTTACGACTTTTAGAAGTCAAGTCTTTAAAAAACAAAAACCACAGGGACTGGAGAGGTGGCCCAGCTGTTAAGAGTACTTCCTACTCTTCTGGAAGACCAAAGCTTGGTTCCCAGCACCCATGTCAGGTGCTGACTCACAACTATTGTAACTCCAGCTTCAGAGGATCTTATGTCCTCTTCTGGCCTGCGTGGACACTCACACATGCTCACATGTGCAAACACCTACACACCCAATTAAAAAACAAAACCTGAGCCGTAAAACCAAAACACCAGATCTGTTTGTATCATGCAAAACCCCTTGGCATCTTGGCCCTTTAAATATAAGCCTGCCTGTGTCTGCTTCCTTTTTAAATGGATTTGTGGTGTTTAGGGACATTGCCAGTCTCCCCATCCTGTTTACCATGTATATCACTCAGTGTGTTCAGACTCACTGCTTTTATCTGCTGTGCTATGGACCTAAGAAAGGACCATGTGTGTTCTGCCCTTGGCCATCATGTCTGAATATATTTCCTGTTTCTACCTTTTCTGGGGCTTTTATTTGTTTGCTTTTCCAGAGAAAAAACTTGCTATCTGGTAGAGGAATATTGGCGTAATGGACTCCTTATGTGCAAATTTTCTGTGCTGTCATAAGTATAAGTTTTCTAATTACCACCTCGTGCTATTTAGGTGACTGAGGTCTAACCGAGAAGGGATGAGAAAAAGCTTCAGTTCTTCCTTTTTATGCAGAAAAATTAAAAATTAAAAATAAAATAAAAAAGGAGAAATGGACCAGATCAGTTAAAGGAAAAGGGAGAGAAAGGCAAAATTCTGTGAGGAAAAGACTTGTTTTTCTCAGATTTTTAATTATCCAAAGCAATAAAAATAACATAGTATGAGGTGTGCAGTCTGTTTTGAGGGGAGGGTTTAAGATGGGTTCTCAAGTGGCCCAGGCTGGCCTCTCATTTACTATGCACCTGAGGATGACCTTGAACTTCTAACCCTCCTGATTGTATCCCCCAAGGTCTGAGATTGCCACCAAGTAAGTCTGTATCCTTAAATGACAAATGTCTCACAAAGATCTGTAGAGAAGAAATTATCTTATGACCATTGCAATTAACAATCTTAACCCCGGTCTTCTGTGTCATGGATATGTTAGGTCCTGGTTAACAGTATGAGACTCTAGTAGAGCATAAAATGTGTGTATGTAATTTTGAACCAGATGTTACATGGGATTTCTGAAAAGAATAACATGTAGGCCGGGCATTGGTGGCACACGCCTTTAATCCCAGCACTCCGGAGGCAGAGACGGGCGGATCTCTGTGAGTTCGAGGCCAGCCTGGTCTCCAGAGCGAGTGCCAGGATAGGCTCCAAAGCTACACAGAGAAACCCTATCTCGAAAAACCAAAAAAAAAAAAAAAAAACCAAAAACAAAAAACAAAAACAAAACAAAAACAAAAACAAAAAAAACCATGTAATTTAAATAGGAAAAGTGTTTTTGCTTTATGATTGTAAAAGTAGAATCTACACACTGTAGGGGGAAAACCAGAAGAGATTACAAAGGGAATAAAAGTTACATTTAAGGTTCCCACTTGCTTCTCTATCTCGGATATTACTGCAGCCTTCTGTCTGACATATATGTTTCAGCAAATATTGATATTTCATTGAGTATTTTACATGCATATTTTCATGCCTTTATTTCTGAGATTCATCTCTTAAAATCATGAGCCTATTTCTTACCTGAAGTGATATTTCTTATTAAGTTATCAGCGTGCCTGTGTGCCTGTGTGTATGCATGGATAAGGGTGCACATATTTGGTGATGTGTATGCACGTGTATGTGTGTGGACAGAGGTCATTGTCTAGATTCTTCTTCAATGGCTTCTGTCTTAGATTTTGAGACAGGGTCTCTCACTGAAGCTGGAGTTCACTGATTGGTTAGGCCAGCTGACCAGCAAGCACAGGCATCCTCCTACATTCCCCTCCCCAGGGTTGGACTTACAGACTCTCACTGCCATGCTGGGTCTTTTATTTGGGAACCAGGGACCCAGACCTCAGATTGTCATGGTTTCATGGTAAGCACTTCTTCAGTGCAGCCCTCTCCTCAGCTCAAGCAGTCTTTATATACTGGGCCGTGTAGTGTGTTATTATACATGTGGCATATCCCTTTGCTAGTAAATGTGTCAGTTTTGTTTTGTGTTTTCACAGTACTGGGGCTGGAACCCTGGGCTGGAACTCATGTGTGCTAAACATGTTCTTCCACTGAGCTACACCACAGGCTTTCAAGTGTGTGTGTGTGTGTGTGCGCTCATGTGCATCTACATGTGCACACATGTGTGTGCAAGTCCTGGGGTGGTGGCTCTGGGGAGCCCTCCTGTAGGTGCTGCACAGAAGTTGGGTTTTCAAACAAGAATTTCACTCCCTGATGGAGCAGCAATGTTCCTGGGTGCAGTGTTGCTGCTACCCACGGTCAGCGACACCCAATGAACATCACTTCTTTTTGGGAGGGTTGGTGGGGTTCAAGACAGGGTTTCACTGTGTAGCTCTGGCTGTCCCGGAACTCACTTTGTAGACCAGACTGGCCTTGAACTCACAGAGATCTGCCTGCCTCGGCCTCCCCGGGGCTGGGATTAAAGGTGTGCCCTACTTGCCACCTCCCAACAGAGCATCGCTTCTGTTACAATAGTTACTTTTCCCACCACTATGATCAACTAACTACTTGACCACTGTGGCTGCTTTCTCATTTTTGTGATAAAAACCCAAAGACAACTTAAGGGAGAAAGTGCTTATATTGGCTGAAGGGATAGAGTCCATGATGGAGGTGAAGGTCTGACATGGGGGCATTGAGGCCATCCCATCATACATCAGCAATCTCGAAGCAGAGAGCAGACAGGAAGTGAGGCCAGGCTCCAAAAACCTCACAGCCTTCCCCCAGTCCCATAGTTCCTCTAGTGAGGCTCCACCTCCTAATGGTTCCAGAACCTTCTCAAATTGCACCACCAATTGGGCACCAAGTGTTCGATTTTCTATAGGAAAATTTCAAACTACAACACCAACAAAAAGCAAGTTAAGGGAGCAGGGACTTCTTTGGGTCACATTAAGAGGTGATACAGTCCACCATGGCAGGACCACAGGAGGCCTCTGGTTATACCGTATCTACTGGCTGTCAGGAGTGAGTGTGCCCAGCTGGCTCCCACCCTCCCCGTTTTATTGAGCATGGGATACCAGTCCATTCAGGATTCTTAGTGAAACCTCTCTGGTCTGGAAGTGCCCTTAAAGATGTACTCGGAGCTGATGTCTCCTAGGTCATTCCAAATCCAGTCACATGGGCCAGGATTAACCATCTGTTAATATTTAACAGGGTTGTCTTCACATAGCCAATCGCTACTTCCTGTTGGAGCCACTGGAACCATGCATAATAAGTCGGGCATCAGGCTGGGTGGGTGAACTCTGTCTGGGTTAAATAGTGCTTCTCCTTCTCCCCTCTCCACTGTAGCAATTAGTACAACAGATAGTGCCGCAGTTTCAGAGTTGCAGAGAGAAAAAGTTGGCCTTGTGGCTGTGAAGGAACAAACAAGATCCT